ACCCACCCACACACACACACACACACACACACACACACACACACACACACACACACAGCAGGGTTTGCGTTTAGTATGCATGCATTGGACAGAGAAACAAAATAATGTGTTTAATGAAAGCTTTAGAGAGAAAACTGTGTGTGGTGGGGTGGGGGTTGCCATAGAGAGTGTGTATATTCATCTATGCGTTTGTGTGTGTGTGTGTGGGCATCTGTTGTGTGTCTCTCAGAAGAGGCTGAATACCACACTAACAACAACAAACTGTTACTTTTTGTATATTGTTTCCACATAACCTTTCATAACAAAAGTATATTTACACTAACATACATCACCTTTCAATATCTACACTAAAATAACAAACTTTATTCAAACGCTGTGAACTCAAAATAAGTTTGATAATTAGATCTACATACAGAAGTAGTTACTTATTGACATTACAAATTAGAGATTAAATGATTAACTGTAAAAAAAAAAAACTATCAAACCTCTCGTGAAACGTTGTTGTCCGAGTTGTTCTTGTTTTTTGGCCTGTAGCTGTGGTTGGATTGTGAGCTGTAAAGTCCTGTGGCTGCATGTGTTTTCAACTTCGCATTTTTCTACTTAACTTCTGGCACTGGGAATTATCATTCTGTCAAACTAAACAGCCCTCCTTTCCCTCTGTCTCTCTCTGTCTCTCATAAACACCACCTCGGTCCTGGAATCTGGCACATTATAAATGTGTTTGTCCTGTGTGGATTGTACATAGCGTGTCTGGCAGAGTTAGCAGTGGGCGGGAATGCTTCGTTCTGTCAGAGTAAATCCTGGACTATACCGTCCTCACAAAGAAAAACATCTCCAGAGTTTTAGCCAGGAAGGAAATGCTACATCAGGCAAGGGTCTAGTTATTAGCAGTGTGTTTACTAAGGCAAGCATCAGTATTTTTATTTGAGTAAGGGATTTGAAGAATTATTTTGTGCTTGTGTAAATCACTTATAAATCATTATTTAGCATTGCAACAGTGACAAAGAACTGGAAGTGTTCTGGAAAATTCATGAATGCTTTCAAATTACTGTCTGTACTGCGTCACTGAGTGAAAGTTAAATGAGGTTAAGTAATATATTGAAGGCCCTCCAGACAGTCCCACTATCCTTGACTTGTTTTTTGTGCATGCTTGTGTTTAAGTGAACTTTGTTCTTCCTGACCAATCCACCTTTTTGTGTCACAGGCTCCCCGTATTATGACAACGTCAGACCGCTTTCATATCCAGACTCCGACGCCGTCATCATATGCTTTGACATCAGCAGACCAGAGACCCTGGACAGTGTCCTAAAGAAGGTGAACGTTTTTTCCAACCTGTAATAATTGATTTGACACACTTAATGTGAGCTTAACAAGTAGGATATTCCTAGATTAACATCCACTGTTGTTCCTGGAATTATATTCCTATCACACAATCAGATTTTAGGACTGGAGTTGGGGTCTTGAACAACATTCCTATCAACCAATCAGATTTTAGGACTGGGATTGGGGTCTTGAAGAACATTCCCATCAACCAATCAGATTTTAGGACTGGGATTGGGGTCTTGAAGAACATTCCCATCAACCAATCAGATTTTAGGACTGGGATTGGGGTCTTGAAGAACATTCCCATCAACCAATCAGATTTTAGGACTAGGGATGGGGTCTTGAAGAACATTCCCATTAACCAATCAAATTTTAGGGCTCCAAAATGACCTCTTGAGAATCATGATCGGAGACACCTGTTGATAAAGGAAATTAATAAAGAAAATTGTCTAAGCAGTTGACATCTGGGGGCAGAATACATTGGGTGTGGTGCACAAAATTTTGGAAGTTTCTTGGATATCAAACTGTAGGCTTGACCTTTCTGGTTCTTGACAGTCTAATTGACTTTTAAATGCATTGCCTGTGATTCAGAGAAATTCTTCTACAACTTCATTGTGATTTGCCCACTCTTTGTAGCATTCCAATAAAGTCATCCTTTGTTCAGTAGGCTTGGATATCTTCTTGTAGACTTTCAGTCTGGGGTCAGGTGTCTGGAATGGCCTGTGGCTCTGGTTCACTTGGACAGGGTGGGCCCCTGGATTGATAGTATCATGCTGGCATTAGCTAGACCATGTGAGTGGAAGTTCAGCCGGGTGGTTTGTCTTAAAACGGTTGAGATCTAGGTCGCAGAATCAGAAATACAGTCAGGCTACATGTGGGTACCTGGTGGAATAAGCTAGTGTTGTCTTCCGGGACTTTGAGGCCTCTAGGAGCCAGAGGTGAGCACAAAAGGATCATGGGAATGTAGGGTGTTCGTGTTCCTGTGAACAATCATATGACTGTGTTGTACCCGCCTGTCTCCCGCCAGATTAACTCTGGTGATTCTATGCCACACCAACACAGAAAATGCTTTGTTTGGGAAGGAGAGGAATGCAGATCACCTGTAGCATTGTTGGGAAGACGCACACACAGATACACACCCTGAAAAGCAGTCATTACAGTGCAGGCTTTATCCTCGGAGGAAGCATGTCTCTCACCTGTAGCAAGGAAGATTAATACTCTTGTGAAAAAAGGGATGGGATGGAATGTGATATGCTTAGAAAATGGGAACAGGAAACACTTGTTCTAGTCTTTTGTCATCTCTCAGACAGGGATGGATCAAGGCCAAATGGTTTTATCTTTCCCTGTTGGTTTTGTCTCTTTCTCTCACAGTGGAAAGGGGAGATCCAGGAATTCTGTCCCAACACAAAGATGCTGCTCGTCGGATGCAAGTCAGACCTTAGAACGGACCTCACAACTTTGGTGGAGCTGTCTAATCACAGACAGACACCGGTGTCATATGATCAGGTGAGCGGTTCTCATAAACTCCTTTTGCAATTTGGTTGGATGCCACTGAGACACTCAACTTCAGATTTGACTTGATATCTAACACCAATCTTACTACTTTACCAGTAATTACGTTCATCAGCAAGGGCAGTTCGGCAACATTGCAATGGTTTAGGTTACTAATCTAATCTAATCCATGCATTAAATGTCTGAGTGATAAAGAGTAAAATCTTCCTGAGCACAAAGCTAAACTTAATTTTGATGAAATTGCAAGCGGTAATCATAACAATTAGACTGCTAATTGTGATTTTACTGCTAATTGCTGGTTTTGTTTCATATCAAAGCTCATAATCCTCTCTTTCTCTTTTAGGGTTCAGCTATGGCTAAGCAGATATCTGCACCTTATATCGAATGCTCCGCAGTGCAGTCAGAAAACAGCGTGCGGGACATTTTCCATGTCGCAACATTGGCTTGCGTAAATAAGAACAACAAAAACATCAAGCGCAACAAATCGGCACGCTCCACCAAACGCATCTCGCATATGCCCAGTCGACCAGACCTAGCTGCCGTGGCAACAGACCTACGCAAAGACAAAGCAAAGAGTTGCACGGTAATGTAATGCAAGGAGTTCGGGAGGAAAGATTCATTCTGGGAAGCGGTGAAGGTGGACTGTGGAAGCAAGAACGGACTGGAATTGCCTCCAAAGACAAAGCAAAAGTGGAGAGTGGGAGTGTTTGCTCGATGTTTGAGGGATGCACTTCTTGTTGCCAGAACTCGACAAGCATATGGACGTAAACCCATATTAAGGCCCCAACCACCTCTCCTAAACTTATCCACTCAGCAGGAGGATGTCACCCCCCTCTCGGCCAATGGGAGGCCTTCCTTCCTGCTCCTGGATGTGAAGCTGCTTCCTCTCTGGAGGATTCCTTCTGGAAGCTTCTCCTGCAGGAAAGGAAGGAGGAAGTAGAATCACATAACCATTGAGTCCAGAGTTCCGCTGAGCTTTGCCTCACAGCTATTTTTAAAAGATGCACGTTATGGTTGGTATTAACAGTCATATGACGGAACAGTGAAGGGGAAGATGACTTCCAAAATGGCGGAATTTTTGGATAAGGACAACTCTCGTTTCTTTCATTTTGAGTCTGTACAGCTAAACAAGGATATGAAATGAGAGTGTATCACTGTGGTTACGGACCACTTCCTCCTTCGATCCTCCTTGGCCTGTTTTGTTCTTTCTGTAGACCAAGAGCACGAGTTTGTGCGTGTGCGTGGTTTTCTTTTTCTTATGCTAAGCTCAGCTAAAACTGTCACCATGGATACACCGCTGGTATATTTGAAATCGCACCATTTTCTGTATAACTCCTCAATCACTTTATGGTTCATTAAGATTCAGAAAAAGAAAAACCAAAGAACTGGAAGGTTTTCAAGTCGAATGACTCAATGTTTGACATTCTGAAGTGCGTGATGGATGTGTATTTGAGGGTTTTGGTGGATCAATGAGAATTTCTTTCACGGTTCTATAAGAACATGTTTCTGCTTGTCTTTATAGACCGGGTATATGGAAGTGCAAATACGACCTTTGAGAATTAACCTGACCATTTAGTATTCATTTGCATTTGGTTTATCCCTGAAGGGGCATTCACACTGACAAAGCATCTGGAAGTCATTAATTTGCAATGAGTGCTGGTGATTTGAGGCCAGACTGTTTAGAGTTCAACTTTATTCAAATCTGGAAAAATACTTAGGGTGGGACCAGAGCTGATCCTCCCTATACGCAAAATACGCAAGCTGCGTAGGGCCAAAATCCAGGGAATTTTTTGAATTTGGCCAGCGGTTATGAATACATGAATGATCATTTATTTTAATGAAAATGATGCTGTCACCCTTTCTACGTAAAAATCAGTCAAATCATGTAACGTGAATGTCGTACAGTCTTGTTCAAGACAAAAAAAACACGAGTTGAAAGCGTACCGAGCCGCGGAAGGGACACTGCCTCTCAAGTGCTTGCTGCGAGCGCGATTCGAGACGAAGTGAAACACGGACAAATGCGTTTCATTCATTCGTTCATAACCACTCATACCCCACTTCACTGCCCCCCACCCCCTTCCACTCCCGCCGACACAGTTTTTGCGTAGGGCCCCCATAAGTCTAGCATCGGCACTTGGTGGGACCCTTAAAAAACAGTGCAAAATTCTACGTAATGGCCAAAAATGTCTTGGTGTAGCAGTATCTGGCTAACCGCTAAAGCACAGTACACTGTTAGCATGTTAATTTAAGCACTACTTCTAAAAATATCATGAATGTAACATATTTCAGACAAAATCTAGCTAAACTAATTAAACTTACTAAACAACCAGTCAGTTTTCAGACAACTGATCATTGTGACCGATCCCTAATATGAGCAAACTGTTAGAAACCAAGAATATAGCAAGTTGGTGACACCCAGTGATTTAATTTCTGTCCGTGTGAATGCCGCATTAGAATAACACCACTACTGGAGTAACAAATGATTGTTTAACATTATTAAAATAGCACAAAACTAGCCTTTCATTGAAAATCATTATTATCAGTAAAATGTTTCATCAACATTTGTGCCTTTTCTGACATCTGTGAAATGTTGTTTAAGCACAATTGTTGAAATAATGAATAAACAATCAAACATCAAATTCAAGGTCATATTAAATCTGCACTTCTGTCTGCCCAGTCCAGAAAAGAAAAAACAAGAAACGAATTCGCTCCTCTCTCTACTAAACTATGCAGTCTGCTTCTGACACATGCGAGAGGATTGAGAAAAATTATTAATGCACATACTTTCTCATTCAAAACAAAAATTTGTTGCGACTCAATATATTGCCTTGCAGAGCCATGGGAAAAACGAGTCTCACCTTTGTAGTGCTAAATTTTCTCAAAACAAAATCTTCAGAAGCTTGAAGCTAGCTGCAAAGTATTTTTTGCTGCATGTTTGTAGTTGCACTTTTCGTTATAACTTGCGCAAAACAAACAAAAACGTTTTTTTTTTACATTCGTTTTTATTGTTTTTAATGGGTCCGAGAGAATTTCCTTGACTGTGTCACAAAATTTGTTTTCACATAGGCAGTATTAAACTATTTTGGTGTGTGTAAATGTTGAGAAATGTGTCAGTGCTGTTAAAAAACAAAATGTTTCCTAATGTAGGATGTCTGTAACTTTTTTTAATGCCTTCTTTGTGTTGAGTTCCATGTATGTCTGTTTTTGTTGATGTTGGCATAATATTTATTGAATTATCTATTTTTTTCTCTTAAAAATAAATGAAAAAATAAAATGAAAACGGATCTTTTTGATATGAAATCTTTTCCTCTTTTCCTTTTATATAC